ATCGTTACTTTAATAAAGCTTTATTATGATGAGATGATCTTCCAAAATTAGCCAATCATGATAAAGCCCGCTATGCTGTGTAAATGTAGTTATTGAACTTGCCCAACTTGCGAATCGATTAATTTTTAATATAAATTTATCCTAATACGAAATATATTTTTTTTTATAAATCGTGATTTAATTTTTGTAACTCGAGAATTCTTCGCTAAATAACACTAAATATTTTGAATTACCCTAACGTTTAAACATTTAACCACTTTGATTTAGCAATAATTAATATAATTATAACACGATCAACATAATTTGGCTCGGAATCATGGAACAATTTTTAAACGACTAAACAATTCCAATCCTTATTGACAACCACGAGTACTGAAAAAAAAAGATGTGCACATGCATTTAACCTTACTAGAACGAATTTGGCGCTGCTCACTATGGATAATGGGTTTAGATTTGAACTCAATTAATAGTAAATACTGTACGATAGCCTTTAAATAGCCATTTTTTTTCCTGTGTAATTATTTATTAGACGAATTTACAATATGATGCGGTGAATTTATAATTGATTGTACCACGTCTTCCTTGGTGTGTGTCGCATCTGAAGTTGCCCCTCGTCTGAAGTTTATCTAAAGTAGCACATGACAAGAATTACAGGCATGAAAATCTAATTTCAGGAGCTTAATTCTAGTCAAGTGCTACTTTAGATATCTAAAGTTGCAACTTCAGATAAATCGTAACTTCAGATACGATATGTTCATTGCATAGGCAATAAATCCAAGAAACGTCATTTTTATTATTGCACCATTTTGATGATTAAGATTCTCATTTCTAAATCCGCATTGATATCCTATCTTCTTGTTTCTTTAAAAGTTGGGCTTAGTTTTATCCCAAATGTGTACTAGAAATATAAAAGTAAAATTCAACATTTTTTGGTACGCTTCAGCTGCTGCTTTGATCTTATATTCATCAACTTTCCTATCCTAGTATTTTGACTGATTAGTAATGATCTTTTGAAATGATATTTCATATTGAATCTCTTATTATTTGTGGCAAATTTTGTTTAATAATCCTTAAATAAATTATTTTCTTTGTAACTTCTTTTGGTTTTACTTAATGTCTTTCTTTAATTATGGAAAAATAATGATTATAGATTCGTCTTCTCTTCTATTACAACTTTTTACTATTTTAACACAAAGTTTCGTAAAATCATAACTATTATATTATTTGCCTTATGTTATATCGAATAAAAAATCATGCATTATGTTTAAGGATTTTGATTAATTTATATATTATCTTTTAAGCCTTTGTGCACAATAGGTTAATTTTAATTCTTTTGTTTTACTGCATAGCCATGAAATAATATACTCATCGTGGAATTTTTTTAGAAAATTTTTTAAACCTCTAATACATGCAACAAAAATTAAAATGAAAATTTTTGTCTTATTTCTGTATTTAATACATAATGCTAGTAATTAAAATTTAAAGGCTTAAAAGAGCCTCAAATTTTATTTAATTTGACTTTGTTCTAGTCTGTCACATTACATATACAAAATATGAGTTATTTTAAACCAATTATGACTTTTTAAAGGATGGAATTTTCGAAATAATACCTATGAGTGCTATTTTATTTTTCCTAACCTATTATGAAAGTGTAATATACGTATGTCAATGATAAGATTGTTAAATGATTTGTATTTTATATGAAAAGCATTACTTATGATAGTTATATATTTTCCTCTCGTAATATCGTGAGTTATTCTGAAAAAGGTTTTGAAAAAATTCTTAGTTGAAAGTGCCAAACGATGCTTCTCAGAATCAAAATTCAAAGCTCAAATGTTTGTTTATTTAAATTTTTGAATTTCAAATCTACATAATCAAACTTATGAATTTTTTTTATTTGAATTATACAGATCTCTAGAACTAAATAAAAAACATTCTCATTGAATTTGACTTGTAGTTATCAAGATATCTTTAATCAAATTTTAGGTTTAAAATTCAAATATTTTGATTGAAATTCAAGCTTTTGAGGGGCACAAGTGTCAAATGAGATTCTCAGTTTATTACTTATTTAGGGCTGGGAAAATAACCTTTCGAAACTATATCAGATATAGATTAGATAAATAAAATTTAAATGTTGGCAATTCAATAATTAAATTGGAAAAAATTTGTTGAAAAAAGATTTCTTGTTCAAATTGGATTATTAGCTAGCTAACAAATTTAAATTTTATTTGTTATCCAACAGAGGTGAAGTTCATTACTGTGTGTTTTAATTATTATTATATGATCCGTTAGAGTTAGAAAATTTTACTTTAATGTTTTAAGTTAAACTTTAAAGTTAAAGTTTAAAATTGAGGTTAGAAGGCGTTGAACATTTTCACATAGTACACCAAATATTAATTACTAAATCCATTTTGAGAAATTATGTACCCTGTAAATCTCATCTCTGATAAGTTATAGTTATGCAATCCCATGTAATACCTATATTATTGCACGGATCTGACTTAACAACCCGTGCGACACCGTTGATGTTATGAAGACTTTGTCCAATAAGAATTTTAAAAAGCTAAAAAAACTAAACCTAATTTAAAAAAAAGCGAAACCTTAATAATGTCAAGACTCCTGTTCAATGAAAATTAAAAACAAAATAATATATGGTTCCATCTAATAGGAATATAGAGAAGCGAAGACTTAATAATTACAACCTGCCTAATGATAATTTTAAAAGACAAAGATCTAATAATGAGTAATTCTGTGTTTTAAGAATCATAAAAGAAAAAAATTTAATAATATATAACTCAATCTAATAAGAATTTAAAGAAAGTGAAACTTCGTCCAATAAGAATTTTAAAATAAAAACTAAAAACGTGTGATTCTGATTAGTTAGAATTTTAAAGAAATTTAAAAAAAAGCAAAATCTAAAATGTGCGATTCTATTTGATCTAATAACGACTAACTTCGTTCAATAAGTTCATTCAAAATTATCCAATGACAATTTAAAAAAGTAAAGATCTAATGCTGTAACGACAATTTTAAAAATGTAAAGACAAATCGATTTAATAAAAATAAATAATTAAATCGGATATGAAATTATTCCAATTTAGTTATTTTTTAAACACTTGCTGTAAATGAGTGAAAACATCGCGGGTTGTTAAGGATTCCCTACATTTTTTTTATGACTCAAAATTAAAACCTGAAAACAAGTTGAAAATTCGATATCGATAAACTATTTTAATGAGCAAAATAACAGTAATACAAAATTATGAGTTACTCTAAAACCAGGCAAATTTTTAATGAATTTTTTTTTTTAGACAAATGTGCAAAAAATCTTACTATGATAAATTCAATTTGAAGAACTGCTTTGAAGTTTTTGTACCGTCTTGAATATTGTTAATAATGCACCAGACCTGAAAGAAAATTGATTCTAATTGCAATTATTGCAATTATTCGTCATTAATTGGGCTTCAATTAATTTTATGATAATTTTAATTATATAACGCTAATTTTAATTAATTTTTCGGTAGGCATGGTTTTAAAGCACTCCTTGGATATCATTCTCTAATCAGGATAATAAAAGAATGCCATCGCTACTATTACATAAGTCGCTATTAGCAATGCACCTTCAAACCAATTTGAACATCCGTCTAAAAATTTTTAAAATATTTAAGCCCTGTCCTGCATTAACATTATAATGAGATTTTAATACGTACCCTGCATTAAAGGAACATTTTAAACAAGAAATAAGAAATTTGAATTCATTAAGTTTTTCCAAAGAAATAAATTTTAAAGAAGCATACTTGGATTAATTGATTTTTAAGTAAAACGGCAATAAGCAAACAAATAGCTTCAAAGGGTAAAAACAGTAGAGACATTGGTTGTCCAATAATCCATCCAAAAATCACCAATATTGGGATAATAAATAACGCGACTTGCTATATTTATTGATACATGCAAAAAGTTAAAAATCAGATATTACATTATCATAATGTTATCGAATAACTTACAGCTGAACCTCCAATAGTAATACCAATAGCTAGATTCATATTATCTTTCATTGCAATACTAGTAGAATGTATATGCTATTACGTATTAAAGACGTAAAAGATTGTTAAAAAAAATAATAATAAATAAAATAAAATTTATTATAACGTCAACATTTTTAAATACCTCAGCAAAATTACCAAGCATAGGTATTAATATCAAGCCAATAAAAGTTTCGCTTATGTCAAGGGATTTAACAATTCCTTTAATTGATCTTACGAGAAATTCTGCTGAAAAATAGACAGTCACCATCGTTATAATTAGCACAATTATTGACGCCGTCGCGCCCATGTGTCTTTCACTTTCTTTGTTTTTGCCTATATGTCTTTCACTTTCTTTGTTTTTATCTATTTGTTCTCTGCTTTCTTCGTTTTCATGTTCTTGTTCTCTGTTTTCTAAGTCTTCATATTTGACTTCACGTGTAACTAAGTCTTCATATTTGACTTCACGTGTAACTAAGTCTTCATATTTGATTTCACGTGTAACTAGGCTTTTATGGGTTTTTAACTACACCAATAAAAGAAAATAAACTATAGGAACACACAAGTGTAAAGTATTATGAGATAAATGAATTTTTATAATACCTGAAACCATAAATAAAGTGCATATACGACCAATAATGCTATCGACATTCCATAACTTATATGCAACATCTTATCATCAACACTGATAGTAATATCTTCACTGGAAAGATTAAAAGTTCCATTGATAAGGCTGTAGAGTGCAGTTGGTAAAAGTAGAGTAATGCATGCCAAAGTCATCAAACTAGAACTCATTAGTGAAGCAGTCGAATTAAACTTTTGTTCAATCTGACGACCTTTACTTTTTATAAAAGTAGTAATCCCACCCAATAAAAAACACGATCCTAATACAAATAAGATATTATAAAATATGATGCCTAACATTGATGCTTGAACAACACGAATTTCACCATTCATCAATGCTATTATAGCTACTATGAATTCAATTGCATTGGCAAATGTATATGTTAATAGACCGAAATGACTAATTCTGTTGTAATATGGAAGCCCTTCAACTGCAAACTCCATTAACCTTTTCGCTGGTAGTATTGCCAGGAAGTTTGTCACAAAAACTAATATGTCATTCTCTATGTAAAAGTGCATTATGTATCCTACAGGAACAAATAACAAAAGTATATTGATTTTAGAATCGGTGATGATTTTTTCAATAACTAGTACCAAGGATAATATTTTTCGAGTAATTCGACCCATTTTATTCGCTTTCAACCACTTTTTTACAATACACTTTACAGGTGTTTTATATAAATTTAGAGATGAGCATTGCAGATGATATGCAGTAAAATACTGCGTAAGATTTTCTAAAAAAAAATCCGTAGATCTAAATGTAAAAGTACAACAGAATTAGTGTTTTAAAAGCTCCACCCAAATCGCGTAAGTAATTCAGTTAAAAATAGTACTCCAGCCATAGCGAAAAAAATTGTTGTTAAATGAGATTCTGCATTCTGATTGTTGTCAAACAAAACCTATAGGTTTGTCACTGATAAAAAACTTTAAATAACAAATGACGGCAACAAAATTAGAGATGGGCATGTTGTAATCAAATTAAGATCTTATATGAAAACCAGTTAGAGAAGATTTTCGCGTAGCATATGTGTTTTATGGTTGTAAAAATATCCGTTTAGAAATTATGTAAGTTTACCAAATCGTCAGTAATTTACACACTAATAACCATACCAAAATCATGCTTGTGTTTTGTGTTCATTGACTGTCTACAATCCTGGAATGTTCCGATATTGTACTATTGTACCATCCTTTCTTTGACTTAATGCCGGCCAAACTAATGATTAACTTACATAATTCGGTAATTTTCTTGGTAATTTACTATCAGTAAGTTACCATTTACAACCCTGGATGTATCCCGAATTGGAATCTGTCCCGATTCAGAATCGGGGACAATTCTGGATGAGAATTTTGTAATTTTGGCCCGAATCATAACAACAAAAATTAAAAACTTTTTATTCTAAACCCTAACTCTAACATTACCCCAGATAACCCAATTCTGAATTGAGATGATTCCAATTTGGGAACGCGGGTTACAAATCACAGCCGTCACATTCAAATGTCATATGATACCCTGTAAAAATTTTTCCGATATTTTTGTGAAAACTCTGTGAATCTGCAACATGACTGACAAAATTTAGACAAGCCGAATAATCTCCATGATTTAAGGTTATAAACTCCGTGAATATGAAACATTTATGGGCAAAACACGGAATATAAAACACGGATCGACTTTTTTTATAGGGTCATATTGTACATCAGTGTTGGCCTATGACATAGATCATACCATTTTTTCGATATGACCTTGGTCATATAATCATATAAGTAATGTGGGGAATGAAGCTGAAAATGGATTATGCTGAAAATTGGGGTCTCTTTTTAAATCTATAAAATCTACTAAAATTCATATATACTTTTTTATTAATAAATACTACTCCCTAACCTAACCTAACTATGAAAAAAAAGACCACAAAAAAGGCCCTAAAAAATTTTACAATTTTATAATACAATCAGGGATTTTTCAAATTCGTGTAATTGCAGATCATTTCTCTTTTGGTAAAAGATCTTCAATTGGAAAATTCTTTTTTAATTCTATCGTACGAAATTTGCACCAATCATTGGCTGTGTTGTTATTTGACACACAACCGCCTTTTAAAACCTCAGGGATCCCCACGGATTCCTAGATACATATTCATAGAATAACTTTTGCAAGAATATTTTAAAGTTTTTTTAAAAACTGATTGTTATTTTTAGATTATAAAAAATGCCTTTTTTTAAATTGAAATCAGTTTTAGAATAAACTGACTGTAATAAAGTATAAAAAATTTTCAGCATCATCCATTTTCAGCTTCAGCCCCCACAAGTAGAGATGGAACTCTGGAAATCAGGATAATCCGAATTTGACAAATTATTCGGATAAAATATTGATTTCAGATAATTAAATCGAATTATCCGGTTGTCCGTAATACAGCATGTTATTATGCCATTGGCTGATTGAGTTTTAACTCGAGCTCATTGAGTCTTAATTCAAGCTTATTACGTTTATAGTCATAAAAAACCATATCATTAGCATTTGCACGAGATAATTCTTGTTATCCGAATTATCCAAATATCTGTTAGACAAGAACGGATGGACAGATACAGATAAACTCCGTTTTATATGAACGGATATACGGATCCCATCTCTACCCACAAGTAATATCGGTCACATCAATTATTAGTAAAAAAATTTTTAAAAGGTCATAAAGTCATAGGAAGACTTTCGTATGATTGGCTGTTTAAGTCTATTTAATTTTACATGATATATACAGTTTAAAGCATTTTTAAAAAAAATCAAACCAAAAAAGAAGTATATAGAAAGTAGGACTCCACTATTAAAAATAATCAAAATCCCTTTTTGGTGAGAAGTTAACCTAATTCTATCTAGTGATGATACCCGGTTTGAATATTACCCGGGTTATCCGGATATACGGGTTTACATATTTATCATAGACCTAATTGTAACTTTATTAAAAAAATTATTTGTACATGGTGTTCACGCTAAATTAGGTCTAATTCAAGATGATCATATAGAACTCATTGTTGTTGATCAAACAATCAAAAACTATTCAAATTTCTTAATTTATTTTATTATTGATTTGTTAGACCGGTGTTAGAGTGGTGTGACTGATAATGTTCAAAAAAAAAAAAGATCTATTGATGGCCTAGTACAATTTTTACGCAAACACGACTACACCAAAATTACGTCAACAGATTTTATTAATGTAAACATGATTTTAGTGTTAATGACTTGAAAAATTTGGTTAACAATACGAAAGCGTTATTTAGCTGTGTTAATAATATTGAGACGGATGGTGCTGAAATTTGTAGATTCAACAAGTCAGGTTTCG